TTTGAGACAGTTGAGATATGTCTCCACAAGGACAATCGATACTACACCTCTATTTCATTGCTCCGAGCTCTTGCGTCCGGGAAAACTGACGTGGGGAAATACATCCAAATCCTGCGATTCGTATCACCATTCGACCCTCCCCATCTCGAATATAGACGTGTCTGGCACCGCATAGCGCGCACACGCGCACGAAAAATCCAAGCTATCGAGAAGCTTCTCATCGGGGATATTCCCAGATAAATCGATTTGAGATCTGTCGAGTATGTGTTGTGCTATGAGTAGTCGGTAAAACTCGCTAACTTCGCGTCGCAGTTGGATCGGATGGTCGCAAGGATCAGTCAGAAGAAGCGCTATCGACTTAATCATGAATAAATTCACAGCTTGCCCTCATTTGACGGACTTGAGCATCCAGTTGAATCCTAATTGCTCGCATAATACTGCCTTCTCCGCCTTTCGAAATCTCACCACGTTCGCATTTAGTGGATTTCGGGTAATGGACTTTTGCCCCCATATAGTGGGAAACTGTCCCAATCTGATGTATTTATCGGTGACGAGTTGCGATGAGATATCTCCTTCACACCCATCCGTCGAGACGCTACTTTCCGGCGTACCTCCCAAAGCCGACCCCCCGTTAACAAGACTTTACCTCAGCGAGCTCGTCATGCCAGCTTCCTTGCTCCCTTACATATATCGACATCTACGCTCATTGTCCCATCTCACGTTGGATATGGAGGTCCCAAGCCAATTCTGGGAACTCGCTCGTGCGGAAGGCATAAAATTCGTATGAAAGTCAGTTTCGTGGAGAATGAGGTCTCTTCTCGACTACCTTGAGTCTTATTCGGGGATCCAGCTACTAGGAATCAGCATTGACGTCGGGGAAGCAGACTATGAAGAGGAAAAGCACTGCGCTGATGATCTTTATCATGCAATCCTACCGGGACATGTGCAGACACTCACGGAACTGTACATCCAGCCATATTATGCCGGTGCATGGTGTTTGGAGGAGAATCATCTCGCAGCTTCGATGCAGTGCAGTAAATTGGCTACTTTACGATTGGCCCTCGATTCAGCTCATGCAAACGTTGAAGGTTCTGATAATGTTATTGTATGTAATGTTTCGCATTTTGCACAGGACTCGTGGGCTAAACATGTTCTCTTAAGACGCGGACTCTTGATTTGTTGTCTTCTTGGCCCCTTCTTCATTACCTGCACTTCTCGTTTGCGAGGGGATGAAGAGAATACATAACCGCGGGTAGCACAGTTTTACGACCGCACGTGCGAGCGAATTCAAGAGGTGGTCGGGGGATACAGGTGTAGAAACCCGACGGAGGGCATGCATGAGCTGATTGTGAGCACAGACTTTGCCGATAATATGCTGAAGAAATACGACGAAGATACTTACATGTTTGTGTCTGTGTAAATGCAATATGTCCGCCTTACACCTTGTTGAGTACCGTAAATATAGATATTTAAATAAAAATACTAAATGCGAATACAAGTCGAGGACTTCGCACGTTACGTGCTATCCACAAATGCGCTAGCTTGTATATCGTACAGTTTAGTGTACTCTCCGTCTCTTTCGATGAGCTCTACATGAGTACCAGCCTCGGCTATCGTACCGTCTTTCATGCACCTCCAAAGACTTCAGTCACTAAAATTTGCGTCCAACCAAAAGACTTACACAACGAGATCAGCGTGCTTGGTCAAATGCCCGAACTGATGCGTAACAAAGATCATAGTCTTCCCTTGCCGAACTTGGATAAGATTCCTAAACAGAGACACCTCGCCTTCAGCATCTAACGCCGAGCTCGGTTCGTCAACCGCGACTAGCTTTACAGATCCCGATTCAAAACGCATGAACGTCCTCGCCCTATTTGACAAGAGTGAGGCCAAAATGATCACCAGAAGGGAGAAAACTCACGCGACGATCCTCTGTATCTCTCCACCCGACAGGGATATGTTCTTTTGCATCTTCTCCAACTCCACCTGCAAAGGATGGGACGGTTTGTCGGGTACATTGTATCCGTATGCCTCGTTGCCCGTCTCCAGCCTAGTCTTCTTCCCCTTTTCCAGTTTTCCCAAACAATGCGTCGCCCCACCCATCTCCGCAGCTTGGTCTATCATCCCCGTGTCCCACGCCCTCTCCGCGTATCCCAACCCGATGTTCTCTCCCAACGAGAGTGGGAAGAGTGAGGGATCCTGCGTCAACGTCGCCGTCGCCCACCGCAGATCTGCCATACGGTACCGTGAGATCGGGATCCCATCAACAAGAATCGAGTCTGGCGAGGAAGAAGGATCATAAAACCGCGAGAGGAGTTTCAAGATGGTGGTTTTTCCACTTCCGTTGAACATAAAAAATAACCGTGACGGTGCTACTAAATACCAGAGCAATTTGGAAGCGATTCAGGCTGCATCTGCGTACCGAATAACTGAATAAGTTTGACCACGAACGACCAGTGATTTCCTCTGTTGATTGGAGGAATTGTTATGCTATGTATACCGTCTTTAGCCAGACACGCAGCAATCAGTGTACAATACATGTTTTCAGGTTATCCCTTTTCTAGATCTGCGATACACTTAGTATCCCATACTCTGACGATTACCGCAGTTCTACAGAAGCATATGTCGGGCGAGACTGTCCCGATTCAAAAGTTTTATTTCTTCCTTCATTGTTCTCAGTGTTCAAATCCTCTGACGCGTCCTTGAGTCATCATTTACACTGCCACTTGCCGTGCACAACTTACATTTTATCAATGCAAGCCACCCGAGGGTATTTCAATTTCACAGTTAGATTCGGTCTGCGGCCCGGACCGGCGAACCAAGCCTTACGTCAAACGCCCATCATCCATAGCCACTCTTCTTCCCAAAAGCCATCAGTGTGTTCTTTATATCAGCCGTCTTCCAGCGTAAAACACCCGACAGTAGCCATGGACCCGTCATCTGTGCTTCCCGTAGAACTCCTCTCAAAGATCTTTCACCACTACCTCACCGATCGCGAGATCCCTGTCCAGTCATTAGATTTCTCCGATGGACTCTGGGTTGTCGGGAAGGTTAGCAGTGCATGGAGAAGTACGGCTAATTCCTCCAAATCACTGTGGTCGACCATAGCCATCACCAAGGCGTTTCCTACACGCAACACCCGAAAGGACATCCCGCCATTCTTAAATCCCAGGGTACTATCTCGGAAGAATGCCACTGAAAGAAGGAAACAAATCCTCACCGAGATTCTTAGCCGCTCCGGAGATTATCCTCTCATCATATCTATATCCTTCCCCCTCTATATGCAACTTCGTGAGGTCGTCCCCACTTCTGATTATTGGCCGCTCTGCACCATTCTTGCCGCACACAGCCATCGGTGGCAGGCCATGGAACTTGAAGGTCACCCTTACCTTTTGAATGATTTCATATTTACTCCCTCTTTTCGACTTCAATCATTGCGGAAACTGCATGCGATGGTACGAGACAAGGCTGTCCTGGGTCAGGTTGCCCGTCTCTGTCCAGGCCTGGTGGAATTGGTAACGGGCGTTTTGCAAGGCGAGTACACTCTCGTGAGGATCGAGATGCCTGCGCTCGAACGCCTTGAAGTTTTAGGGAATACTCATGCGCTAGATTGCATCTCTGCGCCCAATCTAAAATCGTTAAAGATCAAAAGCGATCCGTTCGCCAATATACGTTCTGACCACAATAGATCTCCCGTCTTGGAGTTTCTCCGCCATTCAAAGTGCTCAGTGTGCACGTTGGATATCAACTGGCGTGGTGCCTACGATGACCTAGTCGCCATTCTGTCCCTTACGCCGTCACTCGAATCTCTCGAATGTCGTGTGCCTTTCACCCGAGCATTCCTTGCAGAGCTGAAATCCCCGTCTTCGCTGATTCCTAGTCTGCATACGCTCACCCTGCGGTTTCACTACATCATTCGTTTCCCCCATGTAAAATTCATTCTTGGCATGGTCGAGTCGAGGCTCGCGGGCGGAATTTTGAAGAGGGTAAGGATTCTACCAGTAGGCAGGACCTCCATCAAAATGTTCGATGAGCAACTGGCCGTCATCAACGCCCCACCGGATGTCACGGTTTGGCTCGAGGACAATAGTGGGTCACCCACGGACCTTCTTTTTCCTCCCTTCGCTGGGGAGGATTACGACGGTGATATTTATATGCGTCAAGTTTATAGCGGCTTGGTTACAGAAGATAATCTTCCGTGAGAATGATCCTGAAGTGTTTATTGAGTAAGTGAGCCCAGTATTCAGGAATGATGACGTCACTGACGCGTATACATTTAGATACGAACTTCTTCTCTCGAGTTATAGCTACATATTTCGCTGTAAACCACCAATAGATCATTTACTTCGATATGACTACATTATGGCGACTGTTCATGATGCTTGCTGCCTTCCAGGCTGGACTGAAAGGTGGAAAATCGTCCATGTGGGCTTGTATTTCCGTCTCGATTGAGAATGGATGTTCTGCAAGAAAGAAATCTAAATAATTCAAATTGAACGTCAAGCCCGAGAGTGAATCACATAACTAGCCACACCTCGAGTCGGTACGCCTGCCAGGAGGTCCAAAATCATGCTCATGTAACTTTTCGGCAGAACTGGAGCAATGGGTCGGTGAACCAACGGGAAGGATGTCGACCGTCGTTCAAATGTCAAATACCTTCAAAGTCAGTTTCATTGTGGACCAAGATGAGCTTCGATACAGGGAGAGCTACACTGGAACGAGAATCAAAGCCATCGACGAACGGGGAACTTCAATAGCTTCAATTTGGTAAGAATTCTGTTGGTAGCTAACTCTGGATCTCTGGATATTATTTACGCTAGAAGTCAATCTCCCAGAGGACCAGACGCCAGCACAAAGACAGACATGACAAAGCAAGAAGTCATGGAGCCACTGCCAGAGGGCACGCCCCATGGACTACTATGCTATGACAAAAATTAAAATGTGTGCACGCCAGGCGAAACAGTGAACCACAAAACTATACTTATCAGCCACATCATCTATACACCAAAGGGGAGTCGAACCCTTACCGCCTGCTCGAAATATAAGTTTCCCGAGACGGAAGGCAAACATGATAGCTGTTTCACCATCGGTGTTGTGCCATTACACATAATCCTCTTGAAACCTGTGGAATGATTATCTTCTTCATTGACACTAGGAAAGCTCGTTCTTTGGGCGCCACTTGTAATAACTAGAATGGATTATTGAAAGCCGGGTGCAAGCTGCTGTACAATAGGTGTAATCGCTTCAGACAAATCAGATAACGACTATGAATTCGGACTTTTCGGAATGTTCGCGAACCCCGGGAAAATGACGAAACCGATCCTTGAACAGCTCCCAGCTCGAGAATCCGTTGACGCCAAAAGATGACCATCAAGCCGTATTGGAGGATTCCGTGACAGAGGAACGTCCCAGATAGAGCGTGAGGCTAGTCTTTCGTCTCCTAGAGGTCGTCTAGTTTTCTAACTATTAGTCCTCTTTGTCTGTGAATATCGGAGACGATGTTGCAAGCGAAATAACATGAGGCATAGTTGGCGTGATGCTGGGGGAGTCGACTGAACCGTTCCGTCCGGACAAGCTATTGGAACGGAGCGTTATTCAAAGACCCAGGGAAAAAATGTAGCACGTACAAGAAAATGTCGGGCCCCAACAATTTGAAGGAGTACGTACTGTTATTCGTGGACATTCTAGAACACCTTTCCAGCGAAAGGAGTAATGGGATAGCAGTCAATTCAAAGATATGGTATTTCTCGAACTGGGTTCCGAGAGCTAAACCGAAGCGAAGAGTGAAAGAATTGCACAAAAACTCCACAGACGGTGGATTCGGTAATTTATCAGAATCATACATCGCTATGTGATACGTTCTTTGAACCCAATGTCGCCGCCAATTATCGATGGCAAGTAGACAAAGGTAAGCAGATCTTGAAGGACAATGAGCACGCAAGGGACTACCGAAGACTAATACGACATACTGGGATACACAATTCCGGGATGGTCTCAGAAGAACAACCAGGTCCCAATTCTCACCGGAGGATTCAGTGTTCGGTTGATTTTATAGATGATCGAAGTCGACGAGTATTTCCAAGACTTGCTGACACCTTCGACCCATCTGGTACAAGTCGACGGAAGCTTCATGCAGTACAGGCAACCGGGAGTAATGGGATATCTTCGACGCAGAGGTCGTCAAATCGATAGGATTGATAACTAAAACGAGTTCTTCCCCAGTAATCCTGATACCGGACCAAGGGTTTCAGGTTTTGTTCTTTCTGAGGCACGACGACCGCCAGCGACCTGTCAGATCTGAAGGAATTAATTCAGACCTAGCTTACAGCATTCACGATGCGGTACCTTCTGCAGGCCTGAAAGTTTTATGCAGGAGAAGAAAAGACGGTATGGATGCTACCACGTCATCAGCTCGTGAACCCCAAGAGCTGACAATTGACCTACTTCCCGATTACAGGACTTTGAATCTCCCAGAGAATTGACCACCGGACTAGATTCCTTTCACCAAGATTACATCAAAGACGGTCTTCAGGTCTGCTCCGGACAAGGCTGGTGAAAAGGGCTGGCTATATGCGCATTGGTATTGTCCAGAATTTGAAGAGAAAGTCGACGGCACTAAAGACGATGGTGACCAGGCAGTACGATTGTACCTCGTCTGTCATGTTCATGGGTCCGCCTCGTGCATTTGCATATGAGCCGAGTACTGACGACGGCGTCAGATCAAAAGCGCGTCGGGTTTCTAAGCTCTTCGTCTTTGTTGTCGAGTAGTTTGGATAAGAATTCTCAATCATGCGTCAGCTTTCGAAGACCTTGGATAGGATATTAGAAGGAAAGCTTTCCCAGATCAGAGGGGTACACACCTCGGATTGTCTGAACCAGCTCGCGAGGATGTCTCGAAATCAAATCAGGCATGACATTAGCTGAATAACTTGCAGTCATCGTTCCATTAGAGTTTGCCGGTCGGACCATCGCTATGACGACCTGCAACCTAGTCTGGATGCATGGATAGTTTCTAATGAATATCTTGTCAATCTCAAACGCTGACTATATGGATCATGCACGCACCGCATATGCGTCCAAGTCCGAGACATCCGACCTGACCACTCACATTGATATCCTGTCATATGACCATCTTGCTCTCGTGAACCGCCTTTGGGGTCCATCTATACCTAGCGCTTGTCTCTAGTATTCACGCAATGTTATTTAGCTCTTCCGGATAAAAATCGACGACATAAGAAAGAAGAACGGGCCTCTGTAGCGTACCTCAAACCCAGATCGTGGCTACGTCTGATGGATGGAGAAAAGAGGAAATGATGATGGTGGATGACGAGCATATCCGGTCCGATTTATACCGGATCAACGCACGTGAGGGACGCGTGAAAAAATAAAATAGCTAGCTTTTACGCAGCTGTTATCTTGACTTTTAATCACTGCTTTATATTTTCAAACATGATTTCGAGTCCTACGAGTAACGCCGCTGACGCGGGACGGCGAGCTAACGAATGTTCATCGACGAAAGCTGAGCGACAAGCGGGGATCGAAGTTCGAACACCCAAAGCAAAAAAAAGTTATCAAATAGAGTTTTATAGGACAGGATAGAAAGCCAGAGACTCAAAATGGAGGACACTTATCACTCGCTTTAGCTCCACGGTGTTGAAAATGGGCGACAATTATTTGCTCTTTCGATTACACCCTCGGAAATAGGGGAACCTCGCTACGACTTCTCCAAGCTGTTCGAATCGCGGGGCTGTTCTCAAATGAAGTAAGTGGCGAAGATGGTTTACATTTATGGCAAACGCGACATGGGGACTAACTACGAAATATACTAGCATATATACTACGCAATCCCCGCGGTAATAATTAAACACGTAAGTAAATCCGTACGAGAACCAAACGGCGACTAACTGTCGGTCATGAGAAGCTCGAATATACCACACAAACTTCAACGATGATGTACTCGATGTACATGTATCCACGTACTACACGAACATCGCAGAATCGATTTGTACTCATCAATTGTAGGCTAGGTATGTTCTTCCCAATTGTACGGTGCAACAGTCTGATTAATCAAGCCCTTGAATGCAACTCCACTGGCGGCTTTCGGACATTCAGTGTATAATCCTTAATTGAAACCAACTCTCGCACTTGGTAGCGGGAATGGAGCGGTATACTGGCAGGTACGACTCTGGCTACCGGAGTGGAGCCGACTCTTACAAGGGCAGGGAGACTCTGATGCATGATGAAAGAATTATACCACTTTCGTCTTTATTACCTGGAAAGTTACAAATTTCAAAGCTGGAGAGTTCCTCCTGTACAATACATGTCGCTTCCTAGATACTTAGTACCCGGACTACGGGATGAAAGGACATCCCATTCACGAGGAACCCAAAAAAAGAATTCCCGATTAACTTCGCGTTCACAGACAACAATAATCAGAACGTGCGTCTCTTTTGAATGAGTGTAATTCCGAACACCATGCCATCCTACCCCAAAAGTCTAACACCAGGGAGACATCACAAGAACGGTGAACCGGGTGTTATTTGAAGGCCGGATGGAGCTCTGGTAAGGAATACTTATGCACTCGCGACCGGAGAACACCTGCGCACAACGGGATGTGTGAGTACCAGAACCTTTAGTTTTGAGGAAAATCATCCTCAGTACCGGAAGCGGATGGATGAAGAGCAAGGCGTCGGGTCGAAGACAAATACCATGGTGATGAGTGATGAGTCTGAGCGCTGCCGATGATATCCTAGGTTCCGCAGCATTCATATTCGGATTTTTCCGACTGAGATACCATCATCAGCCGCATACTTATGATTACTGGCAGGGCTGGCGATCTGAAGTAAGAAGCAGCAGATTTGGGAGATCAGAGACGAGCATTGTGAATAGAAGATCACAAACAATTTCAAGAAGCATGGGATGCTACCAATTCTTAGTCACCGCAGAACACTGTTGGTTTGATAAACCATTGATATATTCCACCAGACCCATGAATGAGTTCCGTTCGATCTTCACAGCTGAACGGTTACAGGTTTGTCGATATCTAGGCAGCCGTGATTTTAGGCTTATATTTCAACATCAATGCGGACAACATACCCGGAGAAAACGAGGACCTGGTAGTACGCGATACACATTGGCTAACAGAGGAGGACGTCTCGACCAAATACCATGATCTAGAGGCTTCTTCTCCATTTTTGTATACCAACAGAAGTTTTTTTCTTTAACGATTGATCTTACAGAGACAGAAAAAGCACAGAGATTACCAGTGATGGAAAGCTTGTCTAATGAGCTGCAAGCATGGTCGGAAGCCTCCTTGATGGAACCAGAGTTGAGACTCGAGACTGCACTGGTGGTGCACGAAGAGTTAAGACTCTAAGGACAAAATAGCTTAGCCACAGGTCCCAGGAAAAGTATGAAGAACAAAAAGCGTCTTGACATGGGGGTATACGCCGAAGGAAAGTCGAACCCCTACCGCTTGCTCGCAGTGAAAGGTCTGCACCAAGAAATGGAAGGCAAGCATGATAACCGTTTCACCATCGGCGTAACGGTTTCCTCGACTGGTCAGTGAAGAGAAATGCAAGAATAGAGCATAGGACGTTCACAGGAGCGGACGCTCAGCTCTTGGTGAGTAGCTTGATGTGCGTACGAGAAGATGGAGAACCAAAATGATACTGGCTGGGAAGATATGAAAAGGCGGCTGGCTGAGAGATAAGCAGCGTGAAGTAGCATACCGAGAATGGGGAAAGCAAAAGCGTTCCGAAAGATGTTCTTCACAACTGAACAGATCCACATTTGTCAACGTCTAGGCCATGATTAGTCTGGGCTCAGCGCTCACTATTCATCATCGATACAGGCGGCATACCTGTTGGATATCGAGCTCGTGGCTCGCGTGTTTATTGGTAATCAGTCACGTGTACGTATCATTAAATTTTCGTAGCCACGCTTTCTCTTCTTTACTCGATTGACTACGTACTGCGTCGCTCATGTACTCCGTCAATCCCGTATCCGTGCTCTGATCCCTTGTATGCTTCCATACCTGAAAGATTCTTTCAACAATACCCACGGCAACAACGACAGAGGGCGTTGTTGCGATATGCAAGCCCTGGTAGAGCATCTTGACAGAGGCATCGCGTCTACCACAGGCCGAGTCTTCTTTGTTGAGCTCAAAGCATGCCCCTCTACACGAGACGGCCGTCTCAGCAGAATACGGATTACCAGCGAGTTTTCTGCAGCGGAACCTTTTCTACTTTATCCCCCAGGTACTACAAGTAAAACAGATGGATGAAACGACGCGTAAGATTGACGGTGGTGGCAGCGATATCTTCATACGCAAGGCCAGTTTCCTATCAACGAACGAGTGAGCAAAAGCTGCAGATGCATCCTGAAATGAAGGTGTGGTCCTGAGCGCAAGAAAGGTTGCAACGGCCAGAGGACGAATTAGGCCACTGTATTGCAGAGGGCCGGAAGGTTCTGCCTTCAGCATGATTACATGTAACCAGCATTGTCCGTTCCTCCGTAAAGCATAGGTGGGACATGTCACGAACGACGCGTCTGTCTTATCATCGCCCAGATGTGGCTCTGAAAAACAGACTCTCGCTGCATTCGCCACGGTAGTTACATGAAAATATATGCAATACTAGATGTCATTGTCATCAGGTCGGCAAAAAATTTGTATGGAAAGGTGGACGTACGATTATAATTTTAGGATCTATCATCAATCGCCTGCGGAGAACGACGGCATCAAGAGCCACGCAGAGCTGACGAGATATATTCTCACTCAACGCGCACTCTAGCTTGACGACCGTGCTACAAAAGCATAGTTGGTCTTGGTTTGACAGGGTGTGTTGACGTAGCCCGGATCTAGCCATACGCAAGGTTCAATCAGGTCTTTGTTGCAGGAAAGTAAAAGCGATGCTCACCGGGACCTTTCCCAGTTCAGCTGACTCCCGTTTCCAAAGGTGCTGAATGAGTGCTAGTATCAGTAGTCAGTACTCGATCTAGTGCCTTATCCTTAGCTGTTATTACGGTCTTTGCACCACCAGTGACTTCAACCACACGCCGACTGTCGCAGGGGATGTATTACGCGAAGGAGTTTGCGGAACGGATGGAAGGTGAAAGACAAAGGAAACAGCCCATTGCCTGTCTGTATAAAGAGTGCCGTACCGGCATCGGGACGTTCCTTCCGTCAGTCTGCATGCCCGCCCATTTTGCGTTGCTTATTTCAATCTAGGCTCCGGTTTGATATTCACGACAGCAGAATTGTTTAAACGTCTGTATTCGCTGTAGCATAGAACGGGAACACGGATGTAGCTATGTCAATGGGACGACAATGTCAAGGAAGCGACCCAATCGGATGAGAACACGGCTATTTAGCGATACACAGCGATAAGTATGGAGGCACGTCTGGACAAAATCTGCCACGAATATCTTGGTTTTAGAAGCGTGCTTTGAAGAGCACTCGAGCAAGATCTAAACTAGTATTAGGTGTGCTCATGGATGAGAAGAAGACAACTCACTAGTCGAGTCGGCATAACAATGGCGGCGACGTGAGTCGCAGGAACCAATTGCTTCAAAGAATGGGCTACCGTTTCTAGCGACGTTTATGCATAGTCGCAGCGTGTTAAGAATCAGAGTATTTAGAGTAATACACGAAGTAATGAATACTCGAGTAAAACCCGAGTTATGAGCGAGGATGTCCGAAAGCCGAGTTCCAACCACCAAGAGGGATCCGATATGGGTGCTAACAAGCGCTAGGCGTAGTTAACGGGGCGTCAGCAAGCGCTAAGCGTAACTGACAGGGTTTCCGACAAGCGCTAGGCGTAGTCGGGAAGCAATTGACTGGCAAGCGCTGGGCGTAACCGATCAAAGATGCTTAGATCACACAGTTAAGTGGACGTCAAAGAGGAGTGAAATTAGATTAAGATCCCTAATACAATTTATCTACGAGTTTATATACTAAGGGAAGGTTCGAGTCATTATTATTCTACAATGTTCCATAATATTCTAGTATTAGTACGAAGAATCGAGAAAACAACAGAAAGTAATAGAAAATACGAGCGAGTCACCGTTAAGGCCGAGAAGGCCGAGTATGGGCATGTGTTGACTCATGCACCAAGTTAACAGATACATGAAATCCATAACACAGCGGAAATCCTAATAATTTCTTTGCAGGAGCATTACAAGAGATATCGTGTAATCAAGGACGAAGGACGAAAGAAGTGGCGGGTAAGATATCACATACAAAGAGTATGAGATTCTTTGCGGCAGTGTAGTCGTCGCGCTGTAAGTGGCGGGGATTGATGTAAGGTATGGTAGCATGAGGTCCTACTGGGATACTAGGAGGACGTTGAGACATAGCAGGCGGTGGGAGAGCTTATCGCGCGCACGAATGAAGGGATATTCAGTGGTAGGAAGCACTACAGGCTGCACGGTGACTTCACAAAGCATCGGCCACGCGTTTCCATAGGTCGAAACGATTTGAGTGTTCTTGTGTTGTCAGCCGTCTCCCGCAAACTGTGAATTCCATCAGCCCTCCGTTCCAAAAGCCTGACTGTCACGCACCATTCGCCAAAAATCCCGGTCGCCCATTCTTCCTCTCAATAAATCGATGCCTTCAGAGAGCGAGCCACAGCTACATGTCTTCTGCCATTACCAGACATGGGTCCAGCAACCGTATATTCGAGCGCCGGCTGGAGATACGCTTAGAGAGGAAAGTTTGGTGCCGGCGACATAAATAGATGCAAATAATCTCGCATACGCACCAAAGCCGGGAGACCGGCCCGTTCTTATTGCTTCCACAATAACGAAACCTCTTCGCTTGGCGGCTCCAGTCTTGCCTGTGAATTACTTTCTTCGAGTCCGATTCCAAGTCACGACTCTTTCGCGTTTGGCAAGGACGAAACATCGTCCATTCCCCAGTGAACCAAACCGACCAGGGGACTCGAAACAGAGGTCAGAGGAACGTCGTTCCCCAGAGAATTTAGCTCCAAGATGTTGAAAGCGGCTAAGGATCGTTAATCTTTCATTTCTACCCCCTTGAGGCGGTGAAACTCGCTAAGATTCAAAGGTGATGTACTCGATACATGTATTCGGGTGCTACTACTAGCTGATCCTAAGATAGGTAGATAGACAGATAATCGGATTGATTCATACCAGTCTATTGAAAGCTAGCTAGACTCCATCGAATTGAACGCGTAATGGTGTGATCACGGGAGCGATTATGAATGCAACGCCACTAGTGCCTTTTGAACACGCAATGGATAACGCTTAGCTGAAATCAGCACCCGCGCTTACCAGCGGGAATGGAGGATGTACGAACCCGGCACATATGATCCCGCCTGGCGGGATGTAGCAGACGGTCACTCTAACCCTAACTAGCTGCTTATGAGCACCAGAGATGCTGTTCGAGTCTTGCTCCTCAAACGTATTCTCTTCTTTAACGAAGAGTGATCTTGTTACGATGAGAAGACTGCATAGTTATTGTCGTCTGCGGATCTGTGGACACAACTGGTACGTATCTATCATAGAATCACACACCTGATACTAACCATCGTCTGAATTACAGGGCATCGCCGAGATCAAGAAGCGCAGTATCACGCATTGAGTTTCTCCTGGACGTGCACACCTCCTAGGAGACAGGAGGGTGTTCTGAATGTGTTGGCCAGCTACAAGGACATTCTCCCCAGTGTTGAAGACGGCTCGTTCTCATTATTCACTTCAATGAAGGACGACAACAGCGATTTATTGATATGATATGTGCAATATTTACTGGAAAATTTCCTGTTCTGGCTGGCAACAATTTTGGGGGGGGGGTCTAATTGTTGTGGGGAATCTAATTCTGATTGATGGCCTTCGTACGTTAATATATACGGGAAGAATATGAGGCTCGGCTAACAGTAGAATGCAGGTGCACACCGACGTGACGCAAGACCTCGGCATCAAACTATGTATCTATTAACGCTAGAGGCGAAATAATCAATGGTGAACGTATGGATTTGGTTGGCGCAAGGTCGTCTCGAAAGTGTAACTCGTCGTCGAATCACTCTTTGTACATGGTACACGTTTCATGCACCTCCTCGTGGTCGAATGACAGGATGAAATCAATGTAACCTCCACATGTGCATCATGATGATATTCTTCCGGTGTGGCCGTTGTTGCAGTGCCTTGCATGAATTCAAAATTTATCTTCTGACACGTCGACTCGAGCTGCTCTTCTCTACACTCCCCTGAACAATAGCTTAAAGACTTCGAAACAGAAAATAGTTCGTATAGTTTATTTATGGTCATTGTGAGTACTTACTTACTCTGAGAACATTAGCGCCATCAAGTCACATCAAATTCATTTGGAAACCGTTTTACGACCCCACAAACAAAAATGGATTCCGCTCCGAGCATAGCTGCTGTTTCGGACCAGAATACAGACATAATTCGACCTTCAGAGCCTCGAGGGGAGATAGTACACCCGACTGTCAGTTCTACCGCAGAAGACGAGGAACTCATCCTGGAGGCGATATCTGATTCCTCATCGGATGTTCATTCAGAAT